AGAGATCTGACACATTGTTATTTGCAAGAGTGAATAGTGATTATATAGAATATGGAATTAACGTGTGATTATACACTAGTTAAAAAATTAAAGTTGAATCATTTATCACTTAACGAAAAGATGTTATCCTTAACGTCTACAATTATTTAAGCAAGACAATCCCTCCAATAATGTTTATAGTATAGTTGAAATTTCGTCTATAGTAGCGGATATTCAAAATCAACTGTATATAACATTTTAAAAGAGGAAAAATCAGCTGGTATAACGCCACCCATACCGAGACCAGAAGACCAAAATTGTCGAAAGTGAATTTGGATGAATTTTTCAAAAATGCAATTCGTAGAAATGGTCCCACTCATTTTTTTTTAACAAACAAATACCAACTTTATATAAAGTTTTACAAGCTATTTACCGACGATTCCGATTTACCCCACAATAAGTAGAGACAAACTTTGCATGAGTTAAACTTTAAGTATGAAAAAGTGGGCAGACAGTCAATGCTTATCGATTCCGAAGAAATTGTGTGTTTGAGACTAGACTACCTTAAAAAAATAAAAAAAATGAGGACCGAAAATAAAAACATTTATTATTTAGATGAAAACGTGGGTTAATGAAGGGCATATTGTAGGAAGAGTTTGGAAAGACAAAACTATAAAAACAAGTCGACAAGCATTTCTGGAAGGATATTCACCTGGTTTCAAGGAACCAATAGGTAAAGGTCGACGATTAATTGTTACCCATATAGGTAGTATGAATGGTTTTCTTAATGAGGGTTTTACTTTTGTTTGAATCAAAAAAGACCTGTGATTATCACGAAGAGATGAACGGAGACGTGTTTGAAGAATATTTCGAACAGATGATTGAATTCATACCTAAAAAATCAGTTATTGTGATGGACAATGCAAGTTACCACTCTAGATTAGTTGAACGTTTACCAACTACTCAATGAGGAAAGATGAAATTGCAATGTGTGTAACTTCTAAGAATTTAATCTTTGACGATACAATGACAAAAGCATAATTATTAGAGCTTGCTAAAATAAATAAACAAAATTATAAAAAATATGTCATTGAGGAAATAAGCCAAAAAAACGAGGAATTGAAATACTTCGCCTACCGCCGTAATCATTGCGAGCTAAATCCGATTGAATTAGTATGGGCCGAAGTTAAAAGTAACGTAGCTCGAAATAATACAACTTTTAAATTGTCAGATGTTACTATTCTTTTTCATAAATCAATATCCGATGTAACGACTAAACATTGACAAAAATGTATTAATTACGTTATGGATATTGAGAAAAATATGTGGGAGCTTGATCATATAATAGATAGCTGTATAGAACCTATAATAATCATTCCCGATCGGATAACACTTCGTCTGAAACAGAATATGAGGAAGCTTAACATTAAACTGTAGCTCAAAGTTTATTTTAACATTTGCCGACAACTTCATTGTTTATTTTTTATTTATTTTTTATTGCAAATTTAATTTTCATTCTTTTCTCCAATATTATTAGTATTAAAGAATATTATTATTTATTAATAGGAATATATAAAAACTTACAGTTTTTGTGTATGTATTTACGTTTCAGTATAATTATTGTATTTTATTATTTTATATTAACTGTATGTTTTACAAATAATAGAATTTTTATTCTTTGTATGTGTATCTTTTTATTTTAAACCGGTATCGGATTGGATTAATTACTTTGTTCTAAATATCCCAATAAATTTAACGCAAACTTATCTTTTAAGATTGCGTTTTAGTTAGAAGATGTGCACGCCTATGTATTTCGAGGTGCGAAGATTAGTATTCTGAGAATTTACTCCAGCTTATTCTTCAAATATACTATAGGTGATCTTAACGCTAATTACCATGATTTGCACTACTTAACGAAACAACGAACAAAACGACTTCAATATGAATGCATCGATGCACTAGCGTCTTGCGTCTCTCGCTCTTAACGGCCCAAACTGTTGTCTTAGCGGGATGCATTCCCAAGGTACCAGAAGGATCGGGAGAACACATGGGGAGGACAAATGTATTGATTAATTTATACAACCATATTTGAATTCAAAGACAGTGTATGTAGAATACTTAAGACCAACCACTTCAATCCGTATCACATTCAACTTCACCAGCATTTGACAGAACAAGATTGTGGTAACCGTTTAAATTTTTGTTCATCTTGTCAGAGCTATCGAAGGAATAGCTGGTATTAATTTAATTACTATAAATTCGTAATAGTACATTATTTGTTGAATCCCCCACATACTGGTTTGACTAATTTCTAAATCACCCCGAAATTTTTCTTGTACTAATATTATGGGTTATTCCATAAAAGAAAGCAGGAGGTGAAGTTCGTTAATATTTACCTTTTCGTATGCAATATTACCAGTAGCACGGAATCTATTAAGCAATATCTCAAAACTTCCTTTTGTGGGTGTCTTCTATCAGGATACTTTTGAGCATAAACTTTAGAAGCTATGAGACAATTTTCCAAACAATCTCCAATGCAAAGTACCATGTCCACTCTTTCATGGATAGCGTAATTCTTCATTTTGGGAACAATGAAAGTTAAATATTGCCTCGTTCTCCTTCTATCTACCCTTCCAGTATAAGCTTTATGAACTGGTACTTGGAATTTCGAAATATATGACCCATATAAGCAGTTTTTTTTTCTTTTTATTATTGGCAGCAATTCTCGTTATCTGCCCATTCGATTTAATACTTCGACATTTGTTGTGTGATGTGTCCAGGGAATTTTAAGTAGTCTTCTAAATACCCACATTTCAAAGGCCTCCAATCGGTTCATCACATTGGCCTTTATGGTCCAGGTTTCTACATCATATAGCAGTATGAAGTAAATGTAACATTTTACAAAGAGATATCGAAGCGTTAAGTTGAGGCTGCTATTGCTTAGCAAGGTTCTCATATTAGTAAATGCTGTTCTGGCTTGCTCAATCCTGCTACGTATCTCTACGTCTGGATCTAGATCTTCAGTTATCCAACTACCGAGATATCTGAACTTGGGTACCTTTTGGATATTCTTGTTTGTTTCCTCTTATATTTAAATGCATATTTCGTGTTCTACTAACCACCATTACCTTCATCTTGTCTATATTAATCTTCAGGCCCAGTCGTTCTCCTTCAGTGTTTATTTTATCTATTAGTCGTTGTAGCGCTTCTTGGCTATCAGCTATTATGACCGTATCATCAGCATGACAAATATTACTAATAGTCTGTCCGTTGATTTTGATTCCATCTCCAATGTCACTTAAGGTGTTGTACAGTCACAGTGTTGTATTGCACAAGATGGCAAGCAATTTGAACATCTGTTACATACCTTAACATTTTTACTTGTAGTAAGTTTTGGATTATTTTGTATTATTTATGTTATTATTCATTTTGTATTATTTGTTTTATTAAAATTCTTTCTGTTTAGTTATGTATTTAATTGTTTAAAAAAAAAAGTGTGTACTCGTAAGCACGTAAGAAGTTAAAGGTACATCTATTATTATGACTTCAAAGAAATTAATATAGTATTTTACAGTTTTATTTTTATTTAAATATTAAACTTATTTTAATACTTAAAATAATACAAAAAAATTAAACATAACGTTAATATCTACGTCATTTTTGAAAACTGTAACCACTGCGCAGTTTCCTTTCATTGATGAATCGTAGAAAATCTAAAAAACATCAGATTTTCAACAATTTTTTTTTATTTTCTTTTCATTATATTTTAATACTAATTATCCTATTCCCAACGAATACAAATCCAAAGACATACAAATTTTAATTTATTTACAAAAAATGTATTTACAACAACACTGGTTTCGTTTATAACAATATGTCAATATTATGGGTTTAAAAATCGAAAGTAATAATTATAAATATTTGAAATCGATTTCCGTTCAACAAATTTTTAAATTACAGCAAAACTATCAGTCCTAGTTATAGGTCATCCATATATCATTCAACAGAGAAACATTTTTTTAATTTAATAATTCATTAATATACAGGGTGTTCCATTTAAAATAAGCCTTACATTACACATTGAATAATCCAATAATGCAACTACAAATTTTTGAACACCCTGTAAATAAATGTTTAATAATTAATCATGAATTACATTCAACCAATATCCAACTATTTAGAGGTATAACCAATTTTATTACAATTTCTTAAATAAGTTAGGAATGAGTCTTCGTTTAAAGCTTTACATTTTAAGAATATTCCACATAACTCAGAACACTCTGTACCTAGCTCTAGGGAAGTCTTATGAAACTATACCATATTTTTTGCAACAATTAGAAAATTCAATAAAATACAGGGTGTTCCATAAGAGAAAATGTAACTTTGAAACGCCGCGCTTTATTGTGACACCATGTATATTTCAGAATAATTTAAAAATGTAGCCTTTATCAACCTACATACTATACATTTAAAAATTTTTCAAAATCTTTTATACCTAATGGATTTTGACAAGAGCTATGACCTTGTAAATAATAACAGGTAAACTTGTGTACTAAATCGGCATGACTCATAGCTCCTGTCAAAATCCATTACCTTTACCGTTTCTCACTGTAATCTTTCGTCTCGTATATATATATATATATTATATATATATATATATATATATTATATATATATATATATATATATATATAATTATATATATATATATATATATATTATATTAGACGGGAGACGAGACTTCGGAAGTCCTGAAGAAGACATCAGAGAGGATGTCGAAAACTCGGGGCAATGGAAATCAACGGGGTTCAACCCGGAAGACTGTTTAATATTAATTCTTGTAGTAGTATTACTCTTAGTTCTAGGCTTAATTGTACTAACCATGAAAGGCTATAAAGACCCTGTTGGTGATGATACATAATAAACACTCATGCCTAAAGTACATGAAACAACTTCTCGTGGCTGTATGCTGAAATATCTTAGAACTAAAACAAAATTCAAGCACACATCAAAATACTTACAATCAAATGACATTCCCACTTCTGTTTCTAATTCTGAAAAAGTAAAACAACAACCTTATCAACTGGAAGAAATTCAAAAATATCAAATTTAAATTTAGCACATGTTTAATTCCCTGTTTCTAAATTTAGTGTTAATAAGGTTGTTAAGTATCATAGGTAAAAGAATGACTGACCAAATTATATAGAATTTTGAACAAAACAGAGAAATATGTTCACACAACATCTAATTCACTAATTTAATGAAGCAAGAGAATTTTTATTATAATCACACCAATTTTCAAATAAGAATCACTTTAAATATGCATTACAAGGTTAAGAAAGTAATATCCTTATAGATTTATTTTATCCAAGTAAAAAATAATATTAATAATCCTGGTATATGTCACTAGATAAGAAAACATATGGATATGAAAACTTCTAGATATGTTTATACATAAACGTCACAGGTGACCTTGCAATCCTCTAAGTTCCCTCTAAAATCTATATACAGTCTTTGGCCACATTATTAGACACACTCCTATTTTTTAATAATTTATGTGTTATGAGTTTATATGCAATTCTTTCACATGAAATGACATGGATTTTCATTCAGGAAATTTATTATATATTTCGTATTTGTATTTATTTGTCACATATGGCACCCTGTGTTAACCAATTTTGCCAGAACTTAAACAAGTCTTAACCTGTTCCCATCCTGTCGGCGGGTGCTTCAATTGCAGGCGAGTCTCTGTGGCTTTATGTGCTGTGTTTGTTTATTCTGCAGTTTTATATTACGCAGTTCTTTGATTATTTAATGTGTAGAGTTTAAATAATTTGTTTGTACGCTTTTATCATGGGTAAAAACGCAATCTTTCGCCACGTAAAAAAGCTAAAGTAAATGCCCTCATGAATGCTAAAATATTTTCAAAACGAGAAATATCACTAAGATTGAATGTTTCTGAAGCTAGTGTATGACGCATAAAGAAGATTGAACCAGGGGAAGAATTGAGCCCAAAACGAAAGAATAAATGCGACAGATAGCTTATTTCCACTCCATCAGGAAGGTGTTTAAAGAAAATTTTCCTGGAAAACAGATTTGCTACAACAAAATTGATAATCGCAACTACAAGATAAGAGGGTAGATTCTTCTGAATGTATTATGCAAAAAAAATTAAAAGATCTGGGTTTTAAGGTCTAAGTCTTAAGTCTTTAGGGTTTAAGTGTCTGAATTGGGCCAAACAGTGGCGTGATAAAAATGTGAACTTCTGTGAGATCAGTAGGTTCATAATTTCTTCACAAATAATGAATTTGACCAACATAAAGATCAGCACACATTTTTTCTCTATTGTTCACAGGTCTGCTTCAGTGATGAGAGCAGATTTGAAATTTTGCAGAACAAAGCTCAGTTTGTAAGTCATCGTCATGGAGAAAAGTTTCATCCTGACTGTGTTATTCGAACTGTGAAGCACCATACAAAAGTAATGATTTGGTCAGTCATTAGCACCAAGGATACTGGGCATCTACATGTGGAAAAAGGAATGAGCAGGGTGATGATTTGGTCAGACATTAGCGCCTGGGTACTGGGTATCTGTATGTGGTAAAAGGAATGAGCAGGAAGACCAGTACAAAGATGTATTGCAAAGGCAGTTGATTCAGCAGCTCCAAGACAACAAAGCTCCTGATATGAACCCCATAGACAAAGTTTGTGAGTTGATAAAAAGAGAAGTGGGTAAATATATCATCACAACGAAAACGCAGCTCTTAGAAAGGATAGTTTACATGTGGAATCATCATCTTCAAATGCAGGAGACAGTACAGGTTTGCATTGATAGTATGCCATGCAGAATTAACGCTCTAATAGCAGCTAAAGGCGGTTCACAAAATATTAACACCTAATTGTTGTTATTTCTGTTTTCTTTCAAGAGTCAATAAATATATATTTGTTCGTTAATATTAATGTTTTATTTGTGAACAAATATAGATAATTAAAAACGTAACGCATAATTAACATTTTTTATAAAATCTTATAGTGCATCTAATAATTTGGCCAGGGACTCGACAAAAAGACATCAAACAAAATAATATTTTAGATATATTATTATGAAGAAAATTGTAATTTTCTTCCTAGTTCAAGAGATGAAAAGAATACTTTATATAAAAAGAAAGAGATATTCATTATATTTAGACAGCTAGCATGAAAGTACCAATCAACCAATATAATTATATAAAAAGATACAATATCTGAGTTCTGTGCGTAAGGCGAGTTAAGCCCAAAAATGGTCGAAATTAGTCAATACAATAACTGCATGTTAGAATATGATATATACACGTGTGTATAATGTATGAAGTCCAATTCCACTCCATTCCTAAACTGAGATATTCATTTTTGCACGAATGAAAAACAATCAATACTAATTCTGTAAAGCGTGTTAAGTCCTAACACTCTTCACTAAACATTATTTAGGAAACATGAAGACTAAGTGTGTTAAGTCACACAATCTTGCGCCTAACCATGACTTAACTCACTCTGCACTATAGTTTATTTTTATGAACGAGAGAGTAATTAGCATAATTTTAACTGGTACCTTCGACCACTCCATGGGCGTGCTCAAGATTAATTGAAAAATTATTTTGAATAATTGTAAAAAATAAATGAATTATTTCAGTGTTATAAAGTGATATGTGTATGTAAACAAAAGTAACCTCTTTTATCACACACTATAATTAGAACTGACTGACCTACATTAAAAAGGGTTTTAAAAAATTCACATATTTTTTTTTTAATTTTATAAAAAATTACAAAAGAGAAAAAGAGTTTTTAAAACCGTCTAAGGTATGTTAAATAGATGAATAAAAATATTAAAATAAAACTTACAGCTACTGTTAACAAATCCAAATCAGATTCAGAAGATGAACTTTCAGAACCAAGATTTATAATAACTGGCTCGATCATTTTATCAGTAATATTGTCCAGCTTCCACATTTTTTTCCTCTTCTTTAATAGTGTGATTTACTGCCTTTTCCCAGTTTTCAGGTTTTACATTATTTACGGCCTCCAAAAACAACTGTTTAACATCATGAATTTTAAAAGTGGTATTTTTTCTTGAAACTTCACTCTTTATATCTGTGCCCATAACCAGTTCAATCGGGTTTAATTCACAATGATATGGTGGGGATCTAAGTACTGTCATTCCACGATTTTTGGCAATTTCATCAATTTCGTATTTTTTAAATTTTGGCTTTATGAAGGGCACACAACGAATAAAGTTCCTTTCTTATAGATCCGGGATGGTACGTAATATTTTTTGAACTCAGCCAATTCTGCAAGTATTTTTTTTAACCACTTGGTTGTGGGCAGTCCTTCTATAAGTCTGGAGTGATAACTTGCATTATCCATTACTATTACACAGTTCTTAGGAAGAAGATCTATCATTTGTTCGAACCATTCTTGAAAGACATCAGCGTTCATGTCTTCATGGTAGTCACCGGTACGAGTTGATTCAAAAGTTAATAAACCACCTTCAACAAAACCGTCTGAACTGCCAATGTGTACTATTATCAGCCTGCGTCCCTTTCCTGATGGTGGGTTTAAACCAGTAGATAAGTTATTTACAAAAGCGTGCCTTTGACTTGTAACAGTTTCATCCTGCCAAAATTTATTTGGTGTATGACCCTCGTTGATCCATGTTTCATCAAGATAAAATATTTTTCTTTTTTGGTTTCTCATTTCCTTTATGGTTCTTAGAAAATGTCTTCTCCATATGACAATATCGCTTCTTTCTAATAAAATAGACTTTCTGGGATTCTTTTTCCAGCGGAAGCCTATTTCTTTTAAAAGTTTCCATAACGTACTTCGACTCATTTCTGGGTAATCCTTATCATCTCGAACTGAGACAAGAACTTTATCCAATGTTGGAAATTCTTGTCTAAAGAAGAATTCATGCACTTTCCGTCGAAGTCCTTCTTTAAAATGATATTCTATTTGAAATTTTGGTTTCCCTGGAGCATTACGTGGCATTTGAAAACTACCACATTTCTCTTCTTTAATAACTCTGTAAATCGTAGATTTCCCAACACCAAGTGTACTGCTAACTAACTCAACGGTCTCATCAACACTTTCACATAAACGTTTGTCTGTAAATGATTTAAAACAATTAAATATTAATGTTTTTTCATTAACTGTTAAAGGACCAATTTTTCGGCGTTTACACGGCACTTCCAAATTTTCCATAACACTAGTATACACAATAAACTGCACCTTGCAACTGAAGTACCTACTTTTAGTGAACTGTTAAGAATTTTGAATACGCCACTTGGACCTTCCTACAAAATGGAAAAACCCACTATCACATTTTCTGTGGAATAAGTTTAGAAGGTAATTATCTAGTCAATTACTGTCGTAGATTCCTGGAATTAAAGAATTAAATGTTTGATTGTTGAAACCCTTACTTCGTGGAATGCACTCATTTCAGATAAAATAAAACGTTTTATTTTATCTAAAGAATTAAACTTTATTTTGCAAATAGGTAGGTACTTATTAAACTTTTATTGGTTATATATAACCAATAAAATAAACATCTTACATTTCTTGCAAATTCATTAGTACCTGTTAACCTCCATCACTCCGACACTGGCAACCTTATTTAGGGATTAGTAACCCTCACAACTATTGTATTCTATTCTGCTCCAACCTTTATACCTGTGGTCATACTCAATTTAAAATTGTTTTCCTATATACTTCTGTAAACTTGTTGACAAATATCTGTTTTTCATTGAGTCACCCGTATCAACAGTTTAGGGATTTGCATACATAATTTATTGTTTTATTACTCTCTCATACATAAAAATACACTATAATAAGTTATTACGCTGAGTGAAAAGTTAAAAGTTTAACCACGTCATCGAGAGCACAGCGTATACTGGAGATGTTAAAAAATGATGAACTTGAGCCAGAAGCAAGTGCTAGCCGTGGTAAGTTTTATTTAAATTTTTAATATTGCTGAAGACTTTGGGTCGTATTACCAATGATCTATTTAATTTTTAATTACAAAAAT